TAATTCACATTTTATATATATATATATATATATAGATGATAAACCTTATTTTAATATATCATTGTATGAAATTTATAAGAGCATATAATCTGAGAATTATCAGTATTAAACCCATTGAAGTGAGTGGAATTTAGTTAAAATCCTTTGAATTTATAACTCATGATTGCTCAAAAACAGTTCAAATTTATGAAAAACAACTTAAATATTACTCTGAAAATTTTTTCTTTATTATCAATTTTTCACGTTGCAGTGGTTCATCAACAGATGGATATATTATGTTCATCAGCAAAATTCCGTCCCAAAATGTTTAAATATGGAGACAAGGCAACATGTTTTTACTAAACTTAGTTAAGTTTTTTTGACACTAATATAACTTCATAGAAAGCTTTACAGAAAGTGTATTTGACTCCTAATGGGACTCCACACATAGCCGAAATGGTTATCTCTCTTAAAACAAAGTTCAAAGTTAAAACAAACAAGTTTCGTTCCCTTACTAAAAACCGTTTGAGGGGAAAGGAAAGGTCGTGACCTCCGTTTAGGGTCGAGGAAGATGGGAGGGGTCACAGGAAGTGACACAAAAACCAGCCAATCACACGCTTAGAAAAACGGTTCACTGGGGCTCTGTACAAGACCTTTTCTTCCAAGAGTGAAGATAGCCTGCCGTCATAAATATATATATATACTACCGGTCAAAAGTTTGGGATCAGAACAATGTTTAATGTTTTTTACAGGAGTTTCTTCTGCTCATCAAGGCTGCATTTATTTGATCAAAAATACAGGAAAACATTTAATGTTGTGAAATATTATTATGATGTAAAATAAAGTGTGTGTGTGTGTATATATATATATATAAGACATTCTGACTGATTCTGATCAGATGAGTCACATTAAAAATTGAAAATGCTGAAAAACACACGAAAGGTAAAAATGCACCATTTGGTCACTAATGAGTCTATAATTAGTCTAATTTAACTACATGGAAGAATAATGTGTTATTCCAATTAACATTTTTAATACTTTTGAATGCTGCTGCTTTTTTGTAAAAGCAATAAGCAATGAAAACGTAATAAACCACGCTTCTGAAAGCCGGTCGTCAGTCTGACAGACTCACAGGAATCACACGTAATTGCCAGCAGCTGGAGAGCTTTGTTTCTGTTAGAGTAACTATTCTAATGTATGTGCAGATCCACCAGAAAGCACATGAGCGTTCAGATTTCACACCGTTACAGAGCTCAAACTGATGGGTTAAAGGTGTGTGTGTGTGAGTGTGTGAGTGTGAGTGTGTGTGCGAGTGTGTGAGCGAGTGAGCGTGTGAGTGAGCGTGAGAGTGAGCGTGAGAGTGAGTGAGAGAGAGAGTGAGAGAGAGAGTGAGTGTGAGTGTGAGTGTGAGAGTGTGAGTGTGTGAGCGAGTGAGTGAGCGAGTGAGTGAGCGTGTGAGTGAGCGTGTGAGAGTGAGTGAGAGAGCGAGTGAGAGAGCGAGGGTGTGAGCGGAGTGCGCGAGTGAGTGAGCGTGTGAGTGAGCGTGTGAGAGAGCGTGTGAGAGTGAGTGAGCGAGTGAGTGAGCGTGTGAGTGAGCGTGTGAGAGAGCGAGTGAGTGAGCGAGTGAGCGTGTGAGTGAGCGAGCGAGTGAGCGAGCGAGTGAGCGAGCGAGTGAGCGAGCGAGTGAGCGAGCGAGTGAGCGAGCGAGTGAGCGAGCGAGTGAGCGAGCGAGTGAGCGAGCGAGTGAGCGAGCGAGTGAGCGAGCGAGTGAGCGAGCGAGTGAGCGAGCGAGTGAGCGAGCGAGTGAGCGAGCGAGTGAGCGAGCGAGTGAGCGAGCGAGTGAGCGAGCGAGTGAGCGAGCGAGTGAGCGAGCGAGTGAGCGAGCGAGTGAGCGAGCGAGTGAGCGAGCGAGTGAGCGAGCGAGTGAGCGAGCGAGTGAGCGAGCGAGTGAGCGAGCGAGTGAGCGAGCGAGTGAGCGAGCGAGTGAGCGAGCGAGTGAGCGAGCGAGTGAGCGAGCGAGTGAGCGAGCGAGTGAGCGAGCGAGTGAGCGAGCGAGTGAGCGAGCGAGTGAGCGAGCGAGTGAGCGAGCGAGTGAGCGAGCGAGTGAGCGAGCGAGTGAGCGAGCGAGTGAGCGAGCGAGTGAGCGAGCGAGTGAGCGAGCGAGTGAGCGAGCGAGTGAGCGAGCGAGTGAGCGAGCGAGTGAGCGAGCGAGTGAGCGAGCGAGTGAGCGAGCGAGTGAGCGAGCGAGTGAGCGAGCGAGTGAGCGAGCGAGTGAGCGAGCGAGTGAGCGAGCGAGTGAGCGAGCGAGTGAGCGAGCGAGTGAGCGAGCGAGTGAGCGAGCGAGTGAGCGAGCGAGTGAGCGAGCGAGTGAGCGAGCGAGTGAGCGAGCGAGTGAGCGAGCGAGTGAGCGAGCGAGTGAGCGAGCGAGTGAGCGAGCGAGTGAGCGAGCGAGTGAGCGAGCGAGTGAGCGAGCGAGTGAGCGAGCGAGTGAGCGAGCGAGTGAGCGAGCGAGTGAGCGAGCGAGTGAGCGAGCGAGTGAGCGAGCGAGTGAGCGAGCGAGTGAGCGAGCGAGTGAGCGAGCGAGTGAGCGAGCGAGTGAGCGAGCGAGTGAGCGAGCGAGTGAGCGAGCGAGTGAGCGAGCGAGTGAGCGAGCGAGTGAGCGAGCGAGTGAGCGAGCGAGTGAGCGAGCGAGTGAGCGAGCGAGTGAGCGAGCGAGTGAGCGAGCGAGTGAGCGAGCGAGTGAGCGAGCGAGTGAGCGAGCGAGTGAGCGAGCGAGTGAGCGAGCGAGTGAGCGAGCGAGTGAGCGAGCGAGTGAGCGAGCGAGTGAGCGAGCGAGTGAGCGAGCGAGTGAGCGAGCGAGTGAGCGAGCGAGTGAGCGAGCGAGTGAGCGAGCGAGTGACCGTGTGAGAGTGAGTGTGAGAGTGTGTGTGTGTGTGTGTGTGAGTGAGTGAGAGTGTGTGTGTATGTGTGTGAGTGTGTGTGAGAGAGTGTGAGAGTGAGAGTGTGAGAGTGTGTGTGTGAGTGTGTGAGTGAGAGTGTAAGAGTGTGTGTGTGTGTACTGGTTTATATATCCTGGTGGGGACTTAAACCTGACTACACACAGACTCATGAGGACTCGTGTCACGGTGGGGACCTAAATTGTTACGCCTATGGAGAGTCCCCACAAGGATAGCTGACCAGACTGTGTGTGTGTGTGTGTGTGTGTGTGTGTGTCTCGTCTAGTTGTAACTGAGTTCTAAAGCGAGTTGTAATTGATTGTCTTGATTGATTAGATCTGCTGGTATCGTGCAGTCTGAGGGGTTTTTAGCTGGTCCTGCATCAGTGTCTCCTGCTGATGTCTCTGTGTTTGACAGCGAGACGCGGGGCAGACGCACAGAAATCTGAATTCACAGCTTCTGATTTCAGAATATCAGTCTAATTTTGAGCTTCAGACATGATTTCAAAGCTTTCTGATCTGCTGCTTCTGACTCTGTCAGACCTGCTCTACGTATGATCCTCGTGTCCATCTGTCTCTCTGCAGTGCTCCGCCAATTCAGTTTAGAATCCACTTGAAGTATTCTAGAGCTTTTCCACATTCACTTCAGTGAGAGAAAATGAGATGCACTGGACTGTAGAGATGACATGTATTAAAAATAATAATTTAAAACATTAAACACTTAAGAATGTTTTAAAAATGTTTGTTTTTCATAAAAATGTTAAGAAAACATTCCATTTGATCATTTTGCAAACGTTTTGGCAACGTTACTTTTGAATGTTTTCTGAACATTCTGAAACAATAGTAACATTTAAATACTGTTACATGTACGTCCGACTGAAACTGTCTTTGAACGATGTATAAATAAATGTCTTCGTGCTAACAGTTTGAGAACATTTATTAAAGACTTTAATGGTGTGGAAATTGAACTTATAATTAAAAACAATTCTTTTAAACATTAAGCACTTTTACATTTTTCAAAACGTTTTTTCTTAGTTGTACAAACATTAATATTCCATTTGATCATTTTGTAAACCTTATGGAAATGTTACTATTGAATGTTCTGAAACAAATAGTTAAATAATTATTTTAAACACTTAATGTTTTATAAACATTGTTCTCTTGATTTATACAAACATTAAAGAAACATCTGTGTCCCTGCAGCACAAAAGCAGTGTTAAGTCGCTGGGGTATATTTGTAGCAATAGCCAACAATACATTGTATGGGTCAAAATTATAGATTTTTCTTTTATGCCAAAAATCATTAGGATATTAAGTAAAGATCATGTTCCATGAAGATATTTTGTAAATCTCCTACCGCAAATAGATCAAAACTTAATTTTTGATTAGTAATATGCATTGCTAAGAACTTCATTTGAACAACTTTAAAGATGATTTTCTCAATATTTAGATTTTTTTGCACCCTCAGATTCCAGATTTTCAAATAGTTGTATCTCAGCCAAATATTGTCCTATCCTAACAAACCATACATCAATGGAAAGCTTATTTATTCAGCTTTCAGATGATGTATAAATCTCAATTTCGAGAAATTGACCCTTATGACTGGTTTTGTGCTCCAGGGTCACACATTATTTTATAATTTTGCTAAATTTGTTAATGTTTAAATATAAAAAAAATTAAATGTCCACCTAAAACAGAAATAAAATGTTCCATGAATGATGCATAAATAATGTCTTTGAGATTATCATCTTATCAAAAATAATTATTTTCAACATTTAAAAAGTTATAACTTGATTTACACACAAAAAAAAAGCTAGTCAGTTAGTCAAGCTGGCTATTACTGATGTTAATGGCCTCAAAATGGTCAAACATCAGCCGATTAATCAATATATGGCTAGTTGTGAGTGTGGTTATGATTATAAAATCATAGCAGAGTATATTAGCGATGAAAGGAGTGTGTGAATGAAAGCCTAATAAATCCTCTTTCGCTCAGTGCCGGCTCGAGCGCTCACCGACCCGCAGAACCAGCTGTAATCGGATCAAACACTCCAGCACAGACCTCATCACAACCCAAGCAGAGCCTCACCTGGACGAGTGTGCGGTCAGAGACGGAGCAGATCCAGAGTCCAGGGACGCCGGCGCCGCTCAAGACGAGAGCCTCTGCTGCTGTTTGTGACGGATCCTCTCAGACTGATGCTGCTTTCTGGAGGAGACTCTATCAATCTCTCTCAGTCTGTGTGTGTGTGTGTGTGTGTGTGTGCGCGCTTTCTGGCTCGTCTCCGTCACTCGCATGTGGATCTTATCACACTGAGAGCTTTCTATTGGCTCTGATCAGCACACAAATCATGCCCCTCTCTCTCTCTCTCTCTCTCTCTGTCTGTCTCTCTCTCTCT